TTTTTCCCAATCCCCTGGCTAGCATCGCCGCCACAGCTAATGCACTTGACCCTCTCGCAGCCTTGATGAAGCACAGGAAAGCGAAACTGCCTAATGTGTCCTTGTTCGAAACGAAGCCCAGCCCAGAGGAGCCCTTCTTCAAGCATAAATGCAGGTTCTGTGCCAAAGTGTTTGGCAGCGACAGTGCTCTGCAGATCCACCTGCGCTCCCATACAGGAGAGCGGCCCTTCAAATGCAACATCTGCGGCAACCGATTTTCTACAAAGGGGAACTTAAAGGTGCACTTTCAACGGCACAAAGAGAAGTATCCTCATATTCAGATGAACCCCTTCCCAGTGCCAGAATATCTGGATAATGTGCCAACAAGTTCTGGGATTCCCTATGGAATGTCCGTCCCTCCAGAAAAACCTGTCTCCTCCTGGCTGGACAGCAAGCCGGTTGTAGCAACTCTGCCAGCCACTCTGGGTCTTCCGCTTTCCTCCACTATTACTAGTATCGGAGGCTCAAATGACCCTGTAAGTGTAACACCATCTGTTAAATCTTCCTATGAGCCAGCTCCTGGTGAATGTGTATCTGTGTCACCTAACCACAGAGGCAGCGAGGCTCGTTTCTCTCCCGTTTTAGAAGCCTCCAGTGTGCTGAAAACAGAGGGGGTGCACCTGCCCCAGAACTGCACCAGTAATCTGAGACCCAACCTTGCCTCCGAAACAACCAGCACCACCATCCCATCTGTGACCACCACACCTGAACCCATCGCCTCAGCATCTCCTGCCTCCAACTCTCCTTCTCTCTCATTAAACTCAGACGAAATCAAACTCCCATCGTGTGGCCTCCTGGATTCTATGCAAACATCTGAGACCTCAAAGCTTCAGCAGCTGGTGGAGAATATTGACAAAAAGATTACAGATCCCAACCAGTGTGTCCTCTGTCACCGTGTCCTCAGCTGTCAGAGCGCGCTCAAGATGCACTATCGCATCCACACAGGCGAAAGACCCTTTAAATGCAAAGTGTGCGGCAGGGCTTTCACCACCAAAGGAAACCTGAAGACTCACATTGGCGTTCACCGAGAAAATCTCCCAGTGCAGGTGCAACACTCGTGTCCCATTTGTCAGAAGAAGTTCACCAACGCTGTTGTTCTTCAGCAGCACATCCGCATGCACATGGTTGGGCAGATTTCAGAGTCAGCCGCGGTGGACGGGCTGCAGGAGGTGGACAGCAACGTGTCTTTCAATGAGAACAACTTTGACAGCCTGAGCAGCAATGGCAATGACCTCATTGATGATATTTCAATGGAAGAGGATAATGAGGATGGTGAAGAGGAAGTGGAAAATATGGAGGAAGGCATATATATGTCTAAACCCTTAATCTCTGATTGTAATTCTCCCCCCAAGTCTTTAGCCATTGTGTCAAGTATAGCAGCTCTGGAGAGACAAATGAGAATGATTGACTCTGCTGTAAGCCTAAACCAGTCATTTGGTACAAAACCCCTAACTAATGGTTTTAAAGACAGCAGCCAGCTCAATATTGAAGGCGCTTTATCAGAGAAAAGGATGGAGAACTGTAGTGAAAACAGCCCACATGTGTCCGAGTCCTCCTGTTCGCCTTGTGTATCAGCGTCTCCCTTTCAAAGCAACTCAGAAAGCATGACGATCAAATCACCGGCAGTTGACAACAGCAGGCCAGAATCCCAGGAGCCTTTGGCAGCCTCAGTGAAGAGAGAGCAATTTGAGTCTCCTGCCTCTGCACCAGCAGCTGCCCAAGAGCCGAGAGGAACACAGCCCGGCAAACTATGTGTGAAAGAGGAGATGCCTTACAGTATGTCATTCCAGCTGAGCAGAGAGAGAGGTAAGCTAAAAATGCCATGTAAATATTTATTATGATAACCTTAAAAAACCGTTTAGTTTTGTAAAGATAACTTTATACTCTATGCTTTTGTTTCAGCTGCAGGTCAAAGTATTCAAAGCCTGATTACCAGCACTTCGTCGGGCTTGATAAAAACTGAGATGAATGGTCACAGTCAACCGAGCACCCCGATGGAAGGGCACCATCCTCCGTTTAGCATCCACATCACCCCAGCGTACCCGTCAGTTGGTAGCCCAGGTATGACCTCCCTGCTAGGCCCTGCGCCTCCTCGGCGAACCCCAAAGCAGCACAACTGCAATGTCTGTGGGAAGAACTTCTCCTCAGCCAGCGCCCTGCAGATCCACGAGCGGACTCACACCGGAGAGAAACCGTTTGTCTGCTCGATCTGTGGTAGAGCTTTCACCACAAAAGGCAATCTGAAGGTAGATAAAAACCAATGTTTTTTTGTTGTGTTGTGTTGTTTTTACAACCTTATCAAGGAAAACTGTTCCCTATTGCTATTAAGTTTTAAAAAGTGCACAGTAGGTGAACCGGGACTCATTTTACTGTGTTGAATATTGGATAAGACAAGACTTCCTGCAAGACGGGAATCCTTTAGACCAAGAACCTGGTTTCAGTTTTAGAGAAACAAAGCATTCAGAGGATCTCTTGTTCAAATGTGTCTCCAAGTAAAACAGTCCATATTGAAAACAGAGACAGATGAACTAAATGAAAACAGAACATTTATCAAGCATACATATTCTTCTCTACATGCTATCTTTGCTTATAAGAATCCATTAACGCGAATTAGGAAGCATATGGATGGAAGCTTAATCATGCACCTTTCAAAATAAAAGACTGCTTAGACTATACAGGTTTCTGTAGGTTTAAAACTTTGTTCATCATTTAGTGCAACATCATACTAACACTGACAAAATCTCTGCTATTCGCCACTTGGATCTTAAAAATCACAACTGATTATTACTTTTACTTCTTAAATGTTAAGAAGTATCAAAAGTAATTCCCATTAGAATTCCTTAGAACCCCAGATTGCACCTTCATAATGTTTGATTTTGTCCAAAAACAAAAAAATATTTTACAGTATTGAATAATTAGAAAGGTTTCTGATTAATTATTAATCAACACATCGATTCTGGATCAAACAATAAAAACTTGCTGTTCAAACTTTTATTTTGTCAGAGCCTAAAAATGACGTTTAAATAAATCTATCTGAAACATCAGGGTGTGTTTGGAAAAAATCAAAAGATCTAACATGAATAAACTGTCAGCTGTCCTATAGGTGATATATAACTATGTTTGTATTTTGAAAAAGATTACCACCTAACACTTTAAATGCCATTTTCAGGTTCATATGGGAACTCACATGTGGAACAATGCACCGGCAAGGAGAGGCCGGCGGCTTTCTGTGGACAACCCCATGGCCCTGCTGGGTGGAGAGGCTGTGAAGTTTGGAGAGATGTTTCAGAAGGACCTGGCAGCTCGAGCCATGAATGTAGACCCAGGATTCTGGAACCGTTACGCGACAGCTATCACCAACAGCTTGGCCATGAAGAACAACGAGATCTCGGTGATCCAGAACAGAGGCATCCCTCAGCTTCACCCCCTCTCGGCAGGCATGGACAGAGTGAGCACCGCAGGAGGTTCAATTACCAGTCTAACCAAGACAGGCATCGACCTGGGAAACAACAGACATTTTTCTCTGCTGATTGATGACAGTAAAGAAATTGGAATCAATTGAAAAAAAGACAAACGTTGTGAAATTATGCAAGTTATTATGGACATTAAAATATTTGTAAAACACCTTGTTTGTTCTTATGTATTATATATAGACTTGAAAAAGAACTTTTTATGACTCAACAGAGAATAGTAGGTTATTCACATTTTGCTATTTTACTTTGCAGTCATTTGTGAATGTGTTTTTCTACACAGTAAAGAAGTTGTTCAACTCATACTGTAATTGACAATTCCTTAGATGTACGGTTGCTCTGAAGAAGGGAACATATGTTCGATAATCAATAATGCAAAGCGTCTGCTTTCTCCTCCGGACACCTGCCCGCTGCTGCTACAGTGAGAGCAAAGCACAAAATATGCTCGTAAACATCCACATCTATGAACTGAAAAGATACGTTGTCAGTGTTATGGTGAGAAACTGTCTTTCTTAAACAACAGTCAGACCGAATAAAAATCAGAACACACCACCTGTATGTTCAGATCTATACTGACACTCCTTAGTTATTACAGCACCTTTTTTTTTGCTTAGAAATCACAGCCAAGAATAAGCTTTTTCATTTACTTTTATCTCTTTCAGCAAGGATTTTTTTTTGGCAAACAATAAAATGGCCCTCATAAACTAACAGCTTTAACAAATTGATTCTTTAGCTTGACTATATTTTATCATTTTAGTAGAACTGCAAAGCTACGTCTGAGGTTTTCAATTAAATCTAAAAACAACCATTAGTAATAATAATAACAACAACAACAACAACAACAACAATAATAATAATAATAATAATAATAATTGTAGTATTTAAACAAGTCAATGAGTTGTGTTATCTGTAATTATTTAAATCAAAGAAAATAACAGAAAAGTAAGTCAGCAGTCAACACTAGATTTCATAAAGGGAGACTATGTCAGCCAGTGTCGACTAAAAAACTTTAGGAACAAAATAAAGGCGCATATTCTGGTAAGTAGTTTCTATAAATTCGGATTAGAACAGCTGCTTCTCAGATAATTTCAAAATCATATGGTGCGTAATGCAAAATATACCACCTATTAAAGGTTTCGTATCATCCTCCAAAGTCTTATTTTAGCGTAAGCTATATTTATTATTTCACTACACTGATTGAATCCGCGTGCAACCTTCGGTTACATCTTGAAAGCGCAGTTTTCGCATTGCTACATTCAGAAAAAGCCCACTTTGTTTATTTTTGTTTATTTTATTTTTTTTGAACACACGCTGCGCAAAACAAGTGTTGCGTGAGATGAACCCCCCGCCCACCCAGTCTGTGCTCTCTAATCTTAAATTAGTAAAGCAATTTTTTCTTGGTTTGACATGCATCACTACGACATTTTTAAATGCCACGTGAATGCAGCACAAATCCCTACGCGTTTTGCGTGGCATCGCGTAGGTACTGCCCAGCCAAGATGGCTGACAGCATCCCGTTAAATCCGGTGCGGAACAACTCGAAGAGAATCCCGTATTACAACTCAGCCAGGCTTTCAAGGTATGGACGGGGTAGCTGAGCTGTTTTTTCGGTCTCGCACTAAAGCGACAGTCTTGTTGTCTGACACGTTTATGTGTTTTTGCTTTGCTTTTGCTTCCCGGGGCTCGGATCTGTGTACGGGGGTCGCGCTTGTTAGCTTGTTTTGCTAGTAGTGCTGTTGACAGCTCATTAGCGGTTTCTGCTTTAACAGCTGTTTGATTTTATCACACCGCCCCAGGTAAAGCTAGAAACCTGCGCAATATGTACTTTTGCTTTTTTACAAGTCCCATAATTCAGCCTGTCAGTGTAGCATATGTTAGTAATAGTTATCTGCTGTCTTCCCTCGGGCTTTTCATTTAAAGTCACATGATAGCTGTGCTGGCGTACTACGTCACATGATATATGAAGATAGTTACTTTCTGTAGTCATGATTCACCATCTTGCTCATCTTTCAGAATGGAGGAAGATGAACTAACACAGTCCTCAGGGTGAGGAATGGACAGGAAGCGAAGTAGGCGCATAACAAGGTACTTGTAGTTCAAGAGCATCCACAGCAAATAGCTTTGGGTCATGTTAACGTATAGGCAAGTGGCTAATTAAAGGTGGAAGGTAAAACCTCGACCCCTGCAGGGTTGGAATATGGTGGCCAAATTAAGATTTAAGTAGAAAATGTCCTAGTATGTTTCACGTCCATTTGTCTCCTTTGGTCACGGCAAAAATAATAAAAATTTCTCTTCTTCCTGTGGTGAAAAACATCTAGTGATCTACTTTAGGATGACAATGCCTCCAGCCATAGGGCACAAGGATTGGCTGGTTAGTTTGATGAGTATTAGAATGTTATAGTTTCAATAACACAAGATTACAACTTAGTTGAATTCCTATGGTAGATTTGAGTGCTGTACACCACTGTAATCAAGTAATCAAAACAGGGACTTGTATAAAAATCTAAAGCTAAACTAAAGGTTTTCTAGTAGTACATGATGGTTTAGCAGTTTAAGATTCCTTATGGGCTGAGAAACAGAGAGGTACTGCTTGCTAATACAAGACAGGTATGCTGTAGAGAAAAGACTGCTCTCTTTATCTTTTTTTTTTTTTTTTT